GGCCGGCTCCCCTTGGAAGCAGTGTCGCGTCCCTCCACAGCAAGGCTGCTTTTGTAATCACAGCAGCGACTCTTTCTTTACTGAGCTTTTCGACAGGCAGGGCACTTCGTGTCCGGCGAGGCGGGTATTCTCAATTTGCAGAGAAGGAAACTGTCATTTGTCGTTTAAGGGACTAGGGCTGAACTCGGTCAGGATGCCAGCGACTTCTCCAGCTTTCTCTCTAACCGCCTCGGCTCGCTCAGCTCCCCGACATCCACCTTCAGCTTCAAGTACATTGAACTGCGCTCCTCTCTTGAAGGCCAGCAGCCATGCGCACAGGATCGGGCGTGTGAGCCACAGCGTTTCCATTTGCTGACTTTCCGAAGTGGACTGCCAGGTTCCAGGTCATCCTTCTGGTCTGGAAGCTTTACAGAAGTGCCCAGCATCTTAGCGACTGGCAAGCCTCACTGACACGTGGTGGTGGCTGTGCTTGAGGCTGTGCATCGGCCAGGAATGGAACCTGGCTGTGGTAAACAGTAGTGGCGGTGGGTATACCTGACAACTCCCACCGTACCCCGCTACTACCCTATTGCCAAGATAGGCCTCCACGACCCATCTTTGGGTACCTTCTGACACCAACCGTACCTCCCACACCACCCTACATCTATGCTGGGTTCCGTAAGGCATTGCAGTGGGCACACCGAACTCACAGACAACACTCACACTTAAGGGATTTTTTAGGGAAGTCAATCTCACTCCCTACCATCAATTGATGCCAACTGATAGCGACCCCGTAGGCCAGGGCAGACCTGCCCTGTGAGTTTCTGCGACTCTTTGGTAGTAGAAAGCCCTGCCTCGCTCCTGTGGAGTGGCTGGTAGTTTAGACTTGCTGACCTTGCAGATCACAGCCCAATGCACAACCATGATGCCACCTTCAGGGATGTCCATAGGTTATCACAGGTCAGGATCCGCAAACAATGTTAGTCATTGGTCTCAACCAGCTGCCAAGTCTCGCTCAGGTTCCCAGTCTCTCAACCATGTGGTCCTTTGGCCTCGGTATCCATGGGCCAGGAAGCTAGCCTGCCTGACACTCTGTTTCACAGTTCCATAGTCTTGGTGCTGCTTCGGAGTCTCTGCCACACTGTGCTGCAGCTGGTCTCTGACCTCCGCCACTTCAGACAGAGATCTTGAACATGCTCTTCCAAGGGCCTCTGAGTTTCTCCCTTTTCTCTGCTTCAAAGATAGCTCAACCTTATAGCTGGGGTGGCTGGCGGTGGGGGCAGGATGTTAGGGGTAGTCATGAAAGCTGAC